TTGGGGGCAACAGAAAATGCCGATAAATCACCTGGACCGTCCGATCTTGATCTCTCTCCTCTTCGTCTTGTTCCTTCTCGCGATCTCTACCGTCTCTTCATCATCCGAAGGAAACCGTACTTCAAGAAACTTGCGTTACCAAACCCACCGATTCTTCCCGAGGGTTCACCATCCGTACTACGTGACTCCTCACCGCTCGTGCGACTCCTTCACTCGTCCTTACGCACGTTCTATGTGCATTGAGCTTCAAAGAATCCACCGTAGCAGTCGGAAGCTCTCCCCTCCTCCGCCGGAGATTGACCCAAGATACGGCGTCGATAAAAGACTCGTCCCTTCCGGTCCTAACCCGCTTCACAACTAAAACCCTATCGCCGATTTCTATACATAGACATTATAGTTACATGTAATTTTTTACCAACACATTTCTTGGACTTGGATTCCACGAACGAACAAGGTTCGTCTTTACGGATCTTTCTTGATTTTATTCTCTTGATGATGTTGAAATGGTGCTTGTACGTACGTTAGATATTGTTGCTATTTCCACGCTTGTTTTTGGGCTTGTCGAGTGTGAAAACAATCTTGGAAATAGTTTACTTTTCTTTTGCAAGCTTTTCTTTGATTTTTCTCTTTTTAAAATAATTAATTAGTATATAATTTAAAAGAAAAAAGGATTAATTTAGCATATATGGTTGGGAGTGGAGAGGTGGAGAAACGCCTGAGTTCCATTAATTTGGGAGCTGTATATTACATATTATGTAACTCCAAAGTCTACAGTGGTTTATGAATTAAGAAAAAAATATTGATGGGCCATCTCGTGTGAGATATCGCTGTAAAGATATTTAATTTGCTTGTCTCTGTCAACATATGATATAACTATAACCCTTCAATAATAAGTTTTTTTTTTTTAATTGTAACGTCTGATTTTCTATATCTACCTTTTGTTTTATGTCTAGCCATTTTACTAATATCTTCATCGTATTATCATCCGATTAAATCAACATGTGGTAGATAAAAAATTATGGGGACGGAAAGAAAAAAATGATGCATTAAGTCAAAACTAGATAAGAAGAACTTTGAGGATAAAAGATGAATCTTATTGGCAAAAACATGGGAAATACGATGAAAGATATTGTGAAAGATGCTTCGGTGATGGTTGAAACTTGAAAAAAGAAAAATATGAAAAGTTTTAAGTATAAAATCTAAGTAGATCCAAAAAAGTGTGCGAGATTTGTTTTTTTGGCTTAGTTTGTTTTGATCAAAAACGTCGGATCGTACTGATTTTCAGATCATATAATTTTTGGGATACG